TCTCTCTCTCTCTCTCTCTCTCTCTCTCTCTCTCTCTCTCTCTCTCTCTCTCTCTCTCTCTCCCCCTTCCCCCTATATACCTCCCAAGCGCCAGGTTGCTTACCATTTCCGAATATGTAGTGGGTGAAGTCTATCCCTTCTGCACCATACCAAGCCACACCTTTATGATGCAGGCGTTTCACAGAAAGCTGTAACGTATGCATACAGGATGATGATCATTTCATGGAGGATAGGGTGCCAGCAACTCAGCTCAGTGTTTCTGAGCACATGAACTGTTATTGAGAAAGCCATGCACACAGTTTGGCCGGTCAGTGTTTCCTCAGTGGCCACGTGAGGGTGTGATATGTATAGTCTTGTGCACGGTGTTTATCAGCAGTCAGTCTATCTCTGTTACTCTAGTCTTCTGGTCATTGAGGTGTACTTCATATCCTCGATGGTTTGTACCTCTGAAATTCCACACATTCCGTCGATGTTTTTAGGGTTGTTAGTTGCAAAACAAGGCAAAAAGGGTTGTCAAATTGTCAATTACAGAAACTGTTTTGCAAGTCCTCTTAGGCATTTTAATTTGGTAAACCAAGTCTAGCTTGCCGATGTTGCTGGGGTTTGGTAGATCAGCAAAGATTGTTTTGTGTCAGAGGGACCTGAACTTCTGAAGTGATCTGGCTGCCACCATTGAGGATATCATGATGAGGTATCTGCAAGCTGTGCATTTGTGAAGGAAGAAGTAAGAATCTCCTCATACCACAGGACTTTGTTGACTGAATCGAGGCATCGTTGCAGTGTGATACGTTCAAGAGGAAAGTGCAAGTGTGACGTGCCCTGAATCAACACACAACTTGGCAGCAAGCATATACTACAAAGATGCAGTTCAGGGTAGGGATTTGTGTTGAGAGACATGTCAGTAACTGATATTGCGGGGTGTTCACAATGGGGAATGGTTTTGACGCAGGCTCCACGATTTGATGATGTTGAAAGTGATCTGGCTGCATCGACTCAAATTGGTGTGCTGAACTATCTCAAGGGTGTGAAAGAACTAAACCAGGGCCAGCGGCAAGCAATCCTTAAGGTAGGACTTCCTCTAATGAATGTGCTGGGTCTTGAAGCCTGGTCACTTTTGTATTTTTGGCCCTTTTGGGAACATTTTCTCATGTTGCCCTAGTGAGGGAGGGAGGAAGGAAGGAAGGGAGGAAGGAAGGAAGGAAAAAGTCCTACAATGTGTTGTGGTTTTGCATAGGAAGTGAAATCAAATGAAGAACAGGCGCTATTGACATTCTGTAGTTGAAAACAGGGCAAAGAGGTGTATGGTGGGATGATTTTCTGAGTTTTGTACAGGTGAATTAAAGTCTAGAAATACCGGAATAGAATTTAGAAAATCTTCCACAAAGTTCAGAAATTCAACTTTAGACCGTATGAGCTGAAGGCAGTCTAGTGTGGAAGATAAAGGGCAGGAGAAAAAAAAGAAAAAAGAAAAGGTGTGTCCTATTTGAAACTTGAAAGCAGCTGTTTTGCTCGGTCTATTTTTGTCGCTTCACACATTGCGTCCAGCCGTCTCTTCTATTCTTGGGGGACCCCAAGCTGGCTCCTTTTCCACCCTCAAGTCGTCCATGAAAGTATTAACTGTGGAAGATAAAGGGCAGGAGAAAAAAAGAAAAAAGAAAAGGTGTGTTCTATTTGAAACTTGAAACAAGCTGTGTTGCTTGGTCTATTTTTGTCGCTTCTCCACACATTGCATCCCGCCGTCCCTTCTTTTCTTGGGGGACCCCAAGCTGGCTCCTTTTCCACCCTCAAGTCGTCCACAAAAGTATTAACTGCTCTTCTTTCTCAGTCAAGTGTCAGAAATCTGACCTACGCTTAGATGTTGTCACACATAACTTCATTTGCTCCTTGTTCTCGAGGCAAGCTGCCCATGCCTATACCTACTTATCGGCATACCGCCCATGAATCCTTCATCAGTTGCATGACACCTTCCTGTCCATGTGCTGTTACTGATGTTGCTCTCTCTCCGTTTTTTTTTTTTTTTTTTTTTTTTTTAACCTTTTTTTGGGATTCAAGCTGCGATTATCATTGTCATTCCCTCTTTTCTTTCACCAACAGTGTGCCACTCTTTAAAGCATCAGTAGCCTGGCCAGCTACCCCGTGTGCACCCTCCAATTATAAAAACATGCTGTCGTGGAAGGGCTCGGTCTACAAGACTGAAATGGCTGGTGGCACCTTTAGACTGCTGCGGCAGTGCTGCCTGAAATGTTTTGGTATCTTAGGGGCAGGGATGTATCAGGAAAAAGAAGCTCAGGGGTACTACCTTTAGTGGTTTCAGGAGATGGCGTGGACTCTGGAGTTTCTTGCATGAAATTCATTGAATTTCATTTGATCTTGGACCATGAATGTGATGCAGTCCAACCTGGCATGAAGTCTGAAGGGAAGCACAATGAGGGATTTCCGGAACTCAGTCTTCAAATTCTGCTCTTACCTCTCATTTGTCCTAAAATATTTATGTTCTCAACTTCGCAACAAATTGTATAGTGCACGATAATCATTAGTAATCATTAGTATAATGATAATTTGTGCTCATTTTGTTTGTTGACGGTGGTCATATTGGCTAAAGCAGTTGACTATGAAGCACTTTGTATCTCGTTCACTATGTTAAAGTACCAGCAATGAAGAATGCGAGGTTTTCAGTTGAGCGGACTCGTCAAGCACCTCACGCGTCGATAGACAAACTGAAGTGCTGGCGATGAAGAGTGTGTAGTTTTTGGTTGAGTGACGCCTGCACGGAACTGTTGCTGGATTATATTATTTCTAAGTGCCAGCAGTGAAGAATGTGTCGCTTTCGGTTAGGAAAGCGGATGCGACTACCTGTTGCGAAAGAGTTGTAGGAACATAGTTGGAAACTCGCTGACAGTGCAGCACTGCTATTGATGGTGATTTCTGCTGGCCCTTGCAGATTCTGGGTGCGAGAGATTATGCATTGATCCTGGGCATGCCTGGTACAGGAAAGACCACCACAATTGTGCACTTGGTCATGGCGTTGCTTGCTTGTGGCAAATCCATTCTGCTTTCCTCTTATACAAACTCAGCTGTTGACAACATTCTGATCAAACTCCGAAGTAAGGTGAGGCTCAACGAGTCTGTGAGCGTTGGATGCAACGTGCACTTTGGTGCAATGCTTGCTATGACGTGCTGCCCCGGAGGACCGTCGTGGTTGAATGCTGGGTTTCCTCAGTTGTTGTGAGTACTTGCTGAACTTGTTTCGAGTATGGATGGTTGCAAAACGTGATAGACTGTGTGCTGGATGGTTCTCTTGCTTTCTGTAAGACAAGAGAGGCTGCATATTTCTTTTTGCCCCTACTGGTACCGGGCATCTTTTCAGTGTGCGCCTGTAGCCATGCCTTGCTGTGCTGCAGCACACCGTCTTGCCTTAGGCAGAAACAGCGCACTGTCAGATTGTCTTGCCTTCGTGGAAAAGCACCATGCCACCTGTTCGCACCTTGGACAGAAGCACCATGTTGTCTTGCCTTTGTCTTCTTCCATGTGTTCTCATGTCTCGTAGTATGTGCCTGCCTTTCCTAAGTTTCCTTATGCCCCCC